TTGGACAGAAGGACAGCGTTTGGACAGAAGGACAGCGTTTGGACAGACAGCCTTCTGTGTCAGGAGCTGTAAGCTGAGGAGCTCGTTACCAGCTGGTCATAACTGACATTAAAATATTCACTTGAAGGATGAAGAAGTGGCTGAAGATGAACCTGACGTGAACTCATTTTTAAATATTGTAATTGTTTTAACTCAGAACTTTTAAATAGATTGTTTTATATTTCTTTTTAATCATTTTATTGTTTTTACTGTTGATCTTAACTTTTCATCTAACCAACTTTTAAAGGTCCATCTAGGGACGGTGTGAATTAGCCTTGGTTGTATATACTGTGATGCAGGCATTAGATTGTCTTGATTTATGTTTCTTGTATCAGTCCCTATCAAATAAACAATTAATAAATAAAATTTAGCCTAGAGGACTCATTTACAAGAGAGACCTGTTTAAAACAAAGAACACAGATGAGGTACAGACAACAATAGACAAGCATATAAAACATATAAAATGAAAAGTAAATGGAAGCAATTATATAAAAAATACTAAACAAAAACAGCTACATTATAAAGCAATGTAAAAATACTATAAACAGGAACAGGAATCTTCCAGGTTCAGCTGCAGCTCAGACAGAATTACACCTTCAATCATATCCTGTCAGGGAGACACTGCAGTTTTCTAAATTACTTTGGGTAGGTAGGACAGGTTGTAGGAAGACAATTTAGACTGCCATATTCAGACAACAATAGAGTCCTGTATTATGGTTTAACAAATAAAGATCATTATCTGAAACAGGAAACTTCAAGACCTCCACACCACATTCAGATGAATCCGTGAAAATTAATCTCAGGATCTGTTTGTCTTTTGCAGGTCAATGAAATCTACCAGGATCATTCTCTGGGGGTCAACATGAACGTGGCCCTGGTCAGAATCATCATGCTGTCTGCAACAAAGGTTCTGGATTAGCAGTCTCCATACCACACCCAGTGTCTGCCCGGGTTGCTTGGCAGTCATGTTGTGCTCATTATTGCAGATAAGACATTGTTGGTTTCATCTGAGAAAGTTTAGGATGTAGATTTACAGCTGACTTTTCCTCCCATCAGTCCCAGGAGCTGATCTCTGTTGGGAACCCTCAGAAGAGTTTGGAGAACGTTTGTGGATGGTCGTATCTCCAGCAGATGGAGCAAAATCACGCTAAACAGCATGATCATACCATCTACCTGAGCAGGCAGAAGTTTGGCCCCTTCGGCATGCAGGGTACTATTGCTTATACTACGATAAATACTATGATTAATTCTACAATTGATAATAGCATTATTACTGATAATACAACTGATCAACACATCCTGAATACGCAGGAGCTCAGCCCCTTATATACCAATGAGCTTTAACTTGTGACCTCCATGACCCTGTGACCTTTGTATCCCTGTGACCTTTGTGACCTCTGTGATCTCTGCAGGTTATGCTCCAGTTACAGGGATGTGTCAGCTGCATCGGAGTTGTGTCCTCGTCCTAGAAGACGGCTTTTCCTCGGCTTTTGTAGCTGCACATGAAATGGGACATGTGTGAGACATAAAAACAAATCATATAGAATATATAAAACCTTATTTCACATAAAGATTGGAAATTAAAATCTAAAGTCTACCATCAGGTAGCTGAAATAAGGATGCTCAGGTGTCTTCTTGAGGACATAAAGCGCCACAGGTATGTCCCCATGACCCAACCCCCCTCTCTCCAATCCTCGTCTGTCTCCAGGTTGGGCATGGAACATGATGGAGAGGCCAATGATTGTGATGATGACGTGCCATTGGGCAGCATCATGTCTCCGAGGGTCCAGGCCAACTTCCACAGATACCACTGGTCCAGCTGTAGCTGGAGGGAGCTGCACCGGTACCTGAAGTGAGTCACAGAAACCCATTGCTGGACTGAAAGAGTTTGTTATGGTAGACAGGGGGAACCCCGATGAAGGTCTGTAGGCCAGAGATCATAGTTGAATTTTTATATGCTCATCAAAATGTATACGTATTATGGTATGGTTTCCATCCAAATGTGAACTTTATCTTGTCCTGACCAGAACATTTAATCTACTCAAGATAATTTTACAAAATTTCTTACTCACATGCATCATCACTAGACAGAGTGCCAGGTACACTATTCATCACCCCAGCTCCAAGGTCAAGGTCACAAATCAAGGTCAAATGTTATACAAGGTCATTTCTTGTATAGGCCATTGATATAAAGCATTGTACTGCATTACTATTTTTTAGTTAGTCGGAGGATGTATGTATGATGTGTTGTATGATGTGCAGTACTCTTGTTTCTTCTGCAGCACCTACGATTGTCTTCGTGATGACCCCTTTGATCACACCTGGCCCAATCAGCCTCAGTTACCTGGATTCCACTACTCCATGGACCAGCAGTGCCGCTTCGACTTTGGGCCTGGATACAGTATGTGTACTACTGTAAGTTTGTCAGTCCATCCATCTGACCATCCGTTCGTCCATCAATCCATCCATCCATCCATCCATCCATCCATAGTCCATCCATTCATCATCCATCCATCCATAATCCATCCATCCATTCATCATCCATCCATCCATCTGTCCATCTATCCATCCATCCATAATCCATCCATTCATCACCCATCCATCCATCCATAATCCATCCATCCATTCATCATCCATCCATCATCTGTCCATCCATCCATCTGTCCATAATTCATCCATCCTTTCATCATCCATCCATCCTTCCATCCATTCAAATAATTGCAAATGTCTTTGGGAAATTAAAAATGCACATCAAGCAAAAGCTTGGTACACAGAAGATTTAGTTGTGGTCATTAGGAGCAGGGTGGTGTTTTTGGTGGTAGGGGTGGGGGTGGGGGTTCTTGAGTGGATTAACCACTGCCTTCCTTCTCTGCATGTTTTTGGGGTGTTGGCATTATGGTCTTATTAAACATGATACTATAAGGGAAAACAAATGTGTGAAGAAACCAGAATCACTTTAGTGTTGAAAACTGGGAACATTTCAGTTAGAACAGAAAATTATGATTTGAGCTTTTAAAAATATTTCCTGCATGAAGTGGCACATCAGGAAATATCCTGAATAACTTCTGAAGTTAGGAGCTATGCTGTCAGGGGCTTTACGCCCCTAGTAGGGTCACCCATGGCAGACAGGTCCTAGGTGAGAGACCAGACAAAGTGCAGCCCAAAGACCCCGATGATGAGAAAAACAAATGGACTTAATGTTCCATTGCCCGGACATGGGTCACCGGGGCCCCACTCTGGAGCCAGGCCTGGAGGTGGGGCATGCGGGCAAGCGTCTGGTGGCTGGGCTTTTACCCATGGAGCTCGACCGGGCACAGCCCGAAGAGGAGACGTGGGTCCCCCTTCCCATGGGCTCACCACCTGTGGAAGGGGCCAAAGGGGTCGGGTGCAATGTGGGATGGGTGGTGGCCGAGGGCGGGAACCCTGGCAGTCTGATCCTCGGCTACAGAAGCTGGCTATTGGGTTGTGGAATGTCGCCTCACTGGTGGGGAAGGAGCCTGAGCTGGTGTGTGAGGCTGAGAGGTTCTGGCTAGAAATAGTCGGACTCACCTCTACGCATGGCTCTGGCTCTGGAACCAGTTTCTTTGAGAGGGGCTGGACACTCTTCCACTCTGGAGTTGCCCCTGGTAAGAGGCGCCGAGCAGGAGTGGGCATACTTATTGCCCCCAACTTGGTGCCTGTGTGTTGGGGTTCACCCCGGTGAATGAGAGGGTGGCCTCCCTCTGCCTACGTGTGGGGGGACAGATTCTGACTGTCGTTTGTGCTTATGCACCAAATGGCAGTTCAGATTATCCACCCTTTTTGGAGTCCTTGGAGGGCGTACTAGAACGTGCACCTCCTGGGTACTCCCTTGTTCTGCTGGGGGACTTCAATGCTCATGTGGGCAATGAGAGTGAGACCTGGAGGGGTGTGGTTGGGAGGAACGGCCCCCCTGATCTGAACCCGAGTCGTGTTCTGTTGTTGGACTTGTTCTGTTGTGCTCGTCATGGATTGTCAATAACGAACACCTTGTTCAAGCATAAGGGTGTCCATATGTGCTCTTGGCACCAGGACACCCTAGGCCGCAGTTCGATGATGGACTTTGTCATTGTCTCGTCTGATCTGCGGCCACATGTCTTGGACACTCAGGTGAAGAGAGGGGTGGAGCTGTCCACTGATCTCTACCTGGTGGTGAGTTGGCTCCGATGGTGGGGGAGGATGCTGGTCAGACCTAGCAGACCCAACATATTGTGAGGGTTTGCTGGGAACATCTGGCAGAGTCTCCTGTGAGACGGAGTTTTAACTCCCACCTCCAGGAGAACTTCGAACATGTTCCGGGGGAGGTGGGGGACATTGAATCTGAGTGGCCCATGTTTTGTGCCTCTATTATTGAGGCGGCTTAGCGGAGCTGCGGCCACAAGATTGTCGGTGCTTGTCGCAGGGTCGGCAGTAAGTCGGGCTTGTTCCCGGTGAGAGTTGGACTCCGCCAAGGTTGCCCTTTGTCACCGATTCTGTTCATAACTTTTATTGACAGAATTTCTAGGTGCAGCCAAGGTGTTGATGGGATCTGTTTTGGTGGTCTTAGGATTGTGTCTCTGCTCTTTGCAGATGATGTGGTCTTATTGGCTTCATCAGGTCGTGATCTACAGCTTTCGCTGGAGCGGTTCGCAGCCGAATGTGACGCGGCCAGGATGAAGATCAGTTCCTCCAAATCCGAGGCCATGGTCTTGAGCCAGAAAAGGGTAGAGTGCCCTCTCAGGGTCAGGGAGGAGGTCCTACCCTCATCTATGGTCACAAGCTTTGGGTTGTGACCGAAAGAATGAGATCTCGGATACAAGCGGCTGAAATGAGTTTTCTCCACAGGGTGTCTGGGCTCTCCCTTAGAGATAGGGTGAGAAGCTTGATCATCCGGGAGGGACTCAGAGTTGAGCCGCTGTTTCTCCACGTCGAGAGGAGCCAGTTGAGATGGCTTGGGCATCTGTTTAGGATGCCTCCTTGACGCCTCCCTGGTGAGGTGTTCTGGACATATCCCACCGGGAGGAAGCCCAGAGGAAGACCCAGGACACGCTGGAGGGACTATGTTTCTCTGCTGGCCTGGGAACGCCTTGGGATTCCCCCAGAAGAGCTGGCCCAAGTGGCTGGGGAGAGGGAAGTCTGGGCCTCCCCCCGGATAAGCGGAAGAAAATGGATGGATGGATGGATGGATGGATGGGACTTCTGAAGTTGGACTTGGACATGGGACTAAAGCCAGTTAGACAGTTTTTTTCTCACTGGCTCTGTAACGAGGCACACGCATTTCTCCCCGCTTCCTGTTCTTCTCCTGCTTTTCTGCTCCCTGTCTGTGTATCGGAGCAGCTCCTATTTTTACACATTGTCCTAAATGAAAACTACTGTTTTGGATCTGACCAACTGGACTTTGGATGCAAATGACAAAATCTTTTCAACAAAACGACAGGGTCCTGGAGAACCCTCGTCTGCTCGGACAACACGCATGCAGCTGGATATATCTCTGGGGTGATGTGTCTACCTCTGCTATCGAACGAGGACACTGGAATTGCATATAATTGTATTTATGATAACAGGTTTCCTGTTTTTGGAATAGTCTGGATCCTGGTTTAAAAGCATACAAAGAATACGGCCCCAGCTAATTTGGACCTCGTCAGGCTGCTGTCTATGTGAAAGTTTGTTTCGTGCTTTGAGGACTCAAAATCAGCTGATTTACGAGCTAAACTGTAAGCTGGAAGTGATTTGAATCGCAGGCCACCTGCGGCTTTGGAACTCGTCAGCATGAAAACGACATTGAAGAGGCTCGTAAGCCCGGACCAGTAGAATGCACCCTAATCTGGCCATTTTGGACCTTAGAAGTATCAGCACAGACTCAAAGGCTGACAAGGAAAAATAATAATCTGCCTGAATAAGTCAACAATTGTGGTTTATCTGAATCCGACTCCCCGGTTGGCCTTGAAACAGGCCGACATTAATTTCTCCTGGGAAATGTGTAAAGTAAGGAAAAAGCTTCATCCATCTAAAAATGATGCAGAAAAACTGGTCCAAGCATTTGTCATGTCTAGACTGGACTATTGCAAGGGTTTATTATCTGGATGTCCAAATACTTCCTTAAAACGTCTTCAGTTGATCCAAAATGCTGCTACCAGAGTCTTAACTGGAGTTAGTAGGAGAGATCATATCTCTCCAGTTTTAGCTTCTCTCCATTGGCTCCCTGTCAAATCCAGAATAGAATTCAAAAATCTTACTTCTAACCTACAAAGCCCTCAACAACCTGGCTCCATCTTATATTACAGATCTTATTGTTCCATATTTTCCTAACAGAGCACTTCGCTCTGAGACTGCAGACTTACTTGTGGTTCCTAGAGTTTCCAAAAACAGAATGAGAGGAAGACCTTTCAGTTATCAGGCTCCTCTCTTGTGGAACAAACTTCCGGTTTCTGTCTGTGAGGCTGACACATTGTCCAGTTTAGATCCAAGATGGCGCCATGTACGGTCGCCCTGGCATTCTGGTGCGCTCTGTTTTTTCAGTTTTTTGCGTTAATCATGTGTCTGCGTGCTCCTACACTCGCGAGGAGCTACTAAACATCAGAATATCAAACCATGAGGACATTACTCCAGTTTTTTTAGTGCCTGCTGCAGAACTTGTGCACTTTTTGGCCAAAAGAGCGAGACTTCGCAGGAGGGCAGAAGAGCTGGAGCGCTCGTGCGTCTCCGGAGGCATGGTACATGCAAGCCTTTACCTGGAATATTCCTCTCCAACGTCCGTTCCCTCTACAACAAAATGGATGAGATGGCGCTGCTTATGAGAAGGAACAGCGATTTTTCTTCCTCCTGTGTGCTGTGCTTCACGGAGACATGGCTCAAAGAGCAGACCCCGGACTCCACGCTCCATCTCGAGGGTTTCCAGCTCCTCCGCGCTGACAGACAGCGGGAACTTTCCGGAGGAAAGAAAAAAGGCGGAGGAGTTTCTCTTTTTTTATCAACAACACCTGGTGCTCTGACGTGACAGTGATCTCCCAGCACTGCTCCCCTTCTCTGGAATATCTCTTCATAAACTGCAAACCGTTCTACTCTCCACGTGAGTTTACTTAATTTATTCTGGCCGCTGTTTACATCCACCGTGCACAGACGTGCACGAGGATGAGCATGCGCGCGGACCAGATCACGAGTGTAGAGCGGACTTTTCTGGACTCCCTTGTTATTATCCTTGGAGATTTTAACAAAGCAAACCTCAGGCATGAACTACCTAAATATAAACAGTTTATTAAATGCCCGACCAGAGAAGGAAACACGCTGGATCACTGTTACACCACAGTGAGCGGTGCTTATCGTGCTGTGCCTCGTGCTGCCCTGGGTCTCTCAGATCATGAGATGATTCACCTCATACCTGCATACAGACAGAGACTGAAGCTCTCAAAACCTGTGGT